TCCAACAGGTTCATGTACTTGTCTATGTACTTGTACATGCAGGTTACTGTACCAAACCTGATAAACTCCAACAGAATGAGCCCGTTGGAGTTTGAGTGATAGGGTATGGATGGGTCTATGCAATATAGGATGACTTGCACTGAACAGTACCAAACCTGACAAAGCCAAGCATAGTTCAAAACTTGGTACAGCAAGCCAGACACTGCACACAATGAACCCTGTGTGTCCCAACTCACACAGAATCCAACACCATCTCCCTGGGCCTTTCATCCCAAATCTCACAAAATTCAACAAGTTCATCAGGTACGGTACCAAACCTGCCAAAACCTTACAAAACCAGCTGTTGGAGTATGGCAGGTTTTGGGCAGTTAGTGTTAATGAAAATTAAGTTCCATAACACTGAAGTTTCACTGGTAAAAAAAATAACATTGGTTGTTGGAACTAGACATGCAACTTCTCTGTGTTGAACTGTATACCTTCCAACAACTGTTGTCCCTGTAAAAACCTCCATGTTACTGAACGGCTTGTATCACAGCAGTTGAGATCTACAGAACTGAGCCACATAGTATTGCACTGAAGGCCTTGAATATTAAATAACTGAAGGCCTTGAATATTTAATAACTGAAGGCCTTGAATATTTAATAACAACAAATGATATTCAAGGGTGAGATTTGTCAGGATTTTCCCTGATTTCAGAATTTTTTCATCAATATTTTCCTGCTTTCAAGACTTTTTCAAACAGTCTCATTTAAAATCCGGAAAATCCTTGGTTTACCATTACAGTGTTTTTACGAGTAACAGTTGATATAGAACACAAAAATTAGGTATTTTGCCTTTAGGCAAACTTTAATGTATACCATGGACCCCACGCGGCTGTGGGGCCCTCAAAACTTCTGGTGATTATTTCTTGGTTTTTTAATTTTCCTATGACCTCACCCCTGATATCATTTAGTTCCCTTACAGCAGTGTATTTTTTTTAAGGAATCAGGAATTTTACTGGCAAAAGCACCAGTGACATTAGGAATAATTTCTTCCTAATTGAATATGACCTAGGTGGTCCCCTGTGTGTGACGGATGCCAACCTGGTTCTCGGACGTCTACGGCCGGAGTTCTTTCCCAGTATATTCGGCAAGACGGAGGACCAGCCGTTGGACATGGATGCGTCTGTCAACGCCTTTATGAAGCTCACTCAAGAGGTAAAGGCACAATGAACATCTTTGCCTGCTGTTTGTGGGTTTGTATTTTATTAGATAGGCTTACTCATGAAAAATAAAAACAGTAACGACAGTAAAGAACTTTGGGTCGTAACAATAATTTATCCCCATTCTGTTTATTGTGTTTCCCCTATGAGGTAATGTTAAAGGATGAAAAGGGGGAAGAAATATCTCAAGTGAGCATTACTTCAGATTTAGGTATTAGTGGCTCTACAGGATATTTTAGGAAAGATGAGTAAGCTTTTGAAACAACAGAAAATGCATTTCAATGAAGCTTGCCACTCAAAATTATCCGACACTACCCATGACTTAAAATTTGCCCTTTGAAAACAAAATACTAAACAGAGCATTTTAGTGGAATTGTGACAGGCAATTACAATTTGCACATCTTTTAAATTTAAAGGTGAATGAATTTTTAGCCGGTCAACCTGAGGGAACCAAGAAGGATCCAATGAGCATGGAGGAAGTGGCCATGGGATTCATCAATGTTGCCAACGAGACCATGTGCCGACCAATTAGGGCCCTGACTCAGGTAATCCCTCCGGCTCTGTTACAAAAGGAATTCCTGCAGTGAACTCTTCAGAGAGAGAGAGAGAGAACTGTGTTTTTGCCAGCATTGTTTCTGAGATTCCGTTACTGATTCCACCCAGTGAAATATCAGATTGAGTTCCCATTTCCCTAAGATGGACAATGCACACTCTTGAGAATGCTGAGTTAACCAATTCCTAGAGCCCCACACTTTGCCAAAGAAATACGCATACTGGGCGTTACTGCCAAGATGTTGATTTCAGGCCTCGGCACAAGGACACCCCCTCATGAGTGAATGGCAGCTTGGTTGGGCCAACCACCGAGTTGTTTTTCTCAAAATTAGAGTTCCAGTAACACTGGAAGGATGGGGAACAGTCTGTCAGCCTCCATTGACAGACCTAGATTAAATGGAGAAGGACCAACACCCAGTTACGTTAGTGCCTTCTCTCATTCATGTTCGGGACCTATTGATCTCTTCTACCATACAAACCTGTCTAATTGGTCATCCATTTTGGGGCTTTGTTCAATGTCTGGCTGATTTTGTTTGTGCAGGCCAAGGGTCACGACACCTCACGCCACGTGCTGGCCTGCTTTGGCGGAGCTGGAGGGCAACATGCTTGCGCCATAGCAAGGTCATTGGGCATGTCAACTGTCTTCATCCACAGGTCAGTTGAACCCTCTTCCTACCCCGCCTGCCCATCTGACTGATTGACTAACATATAAATGAGATTTTCATGTGGATTCCAGTGTTGCCAAATGCATTGTAACCTTCAACTTTCCTACCGGCTTATCCTAGGAGACGGCATTACTGCGATAGCATGACACTCAAATGCATATTCTGAACTTTGACATGCTTGCACATTTTGGTAAGATACAGTTTGTGTGTTAGCGTGGTATAGTTTAAACATATTCTTCCTGGTACTTTGCCCGTAGATATTCAGGTATCCTGTCAGCCTACGGCATGGCTCTAGCAGACGTAGTGCACGAGGCCCAGGAACCCTGTGCTTGGAGGTACGAAGCCGGCACCCTGGCTAACATTGACCTCAGGATTGATGAGCTGACCAGGCAGTGTGTCCAAGAGCTGCAGGAACAGGGATTTGAAAGGTAAACACATGCAGCTCGGCGAAACATTCACTATTCATTCAATCACGTCGTGCAAGTCAATTCTATGTATATTGCTGCATGATGTCAACACTAGACTCTTTGCTTGAGGAACTCCCACTGAGTTTGTACAGAGGCTGAAACTATTCCTTGGAGGTTGAGTGCGTGTAGCAGTGTTGCAGTCGAGACCATCACAAGACAAGACATGAAACCATGCACGAGACCAGTCACTAGACCAGTCACAAGTAACAGGGTGAATAATCACAAAGGAATGCTTTTGGTAGAGTTCATGTGACTAGCTTGTGACTTGAATTCAGGCTTGGAGTCTTGGGCTGGTCTTGCGGGGCCTTTTCATGGTCTCCACTTTAACACTGGTGTGTAAGAGCCCTCAAACAGCTGTCGGCCATAGCCAGGCAAATAGCACTCAACGACATACTCTTCAAGTTTTTAAAAAGCAACAATGATAAAAGGAAGTTGCATAAATCTGGACCCAATGACCACCAAGGGTCAGCATTTGTAATGTCCGTAATGTCTACTAAGGACTGTGGTAGCAGAGTGCCACCTAAAATGTTTTTAAAAAACACAGACATTCCATTTGTTTGCAAGCACTTTCACAGCTTTATAATAAAACGCATGTAAGGATGGCAAAAACATTTTGAATGAACATCATGCTCCTGTGTTCAGAGCGTGCTTGTGAAAATACATATAAAAATTGCTGCTGGTAAAAAAGCAATTAAGATTAATCTCTTGGAATTCAGCCACGGGTACCTGTATGTTTGGCTTTCCTTCCCCCCCCCAAAAAAAATGATTTTCCAGACATTCTGACTTTTGAAGATACACTGTGTGAGTGGTGTATTTTTGAGGATAGCTGATTGGCTTTGGGAGTAATTGGGTGCTGGTGTTCAATTCATTTTTTCTTTTGAGACAGATCCGAGATTGAAACGGAGCCCTACCTGCATCTGCGCTACGACAGAACGGATTGCGCCCTCATGTGTTCGGCCACTGGCTATCCAGCCAGTGAGACATCCTGTCGCCATGGGGATTTCGAGTTGGCATTCAGCACAAGGTAATACAACCCTAGGGATTGGAAATCTCACCAGGCACAGTTAGAAGCACAGGGGCATTGCTCTGGGCACAATTCCATCCAGGGATAATAGGCACTGCAGAGCACATCCCAAGGGTCGCCATGGATGGATTGTGTTTTCTCGTACATTTTGGGGAAATGTCAACGTTAGCGCACCAAGCAATATTCCACTTGAAAAAATGAGCAGATTTTTTTACCTGCATGAAAGTAGGAATCGTATGTGTTTGAATCGTGATCAGTTTATTGAGGCTTCCATAAAGAGGCTTCCATGTATACTGCGTACTGCACATAACTAGTAACGAAAAGAGAATTATCTCGATGATATATGTAAGATGCGAATTGTGAAGTCGGAAACTTGCCTTTTAAGGCAAATATTTGGGGGCTTGCTGCATTATGATATTGCTCCCATAAACTGAACAATCAGGAAAGTGACAACAAAGAAAACATACAGTTGAAGTCATCAGCTCTGTGTGGATTTGCGTCTGATTTACCCACACCGTTTCTGACTTATGATATGTATCATATGGCACAAACATTTCTGACACATTTTCATGTAGAATGTGTCACACTAGAGGCATTGTCGCTTTATCTCATGTTTAAGTCAAGCTGCAGCACAGATCATGAAAGGGATGACTAGCACCCAGTCACAGTTCACAGTGTGAGAGAATGACCTTCAAGCACCAGACCACTTTGCCAAGGACTTCCAAGACCAATGTACAATGTAATGCAAATCCTCAGTGTGCTGGGTAACCAATGGCTTGCGGCCTCACTGACGTTGTTCCTGTGCAGGTACAAGCGTGAGTTTGGCTTCACCATTCCGGGCCGGCCCATCATCGTGGACGACATCAGAGTACGCGGTGTCGGTAAGACCAACATCACCGATGACAGACATCTCAGACCCAGCAACCAGAATCCCAAGTTCCAAGTAGTAAGTGAAGACTTGTAAAACCCACAGATATGAACACAATACCTGGATTTTGACTCTGTGCTGCATTATAGAGAGGAGTGCAGGAACTTTAACAGTCATGTGACCACTTTTTAATAGGAGGCGTCGAGACATTTGGTGGGGAGTAGACAATCAGTCCTTCTCACAGTTGTGCGTGTGCTCAGAACTTCTGTACATGCCTAGAACTACCGACACGTGCCCAGAGCTGACAAAAAGGACCTTTTTGCTGCCACCAAGCGTCTCAAAGTGCTCCACTGACTGTTTGAGGGACACACTTACGTGAAGATTTCACCATTTTCCCATGATCACATGATGAAAATGTGCATGAATTTGACCATGGAACTAAAGATGGCGGTGAAGTGAGCTTTTCCAAGCAAATACTCAATCTTCAACATACAGTAAAATCTCAATACCTCGAATCTCTGGGGAATGGACAAAAAATTCGAGTTATCCGAAATTCGAGTTAAAAGAAGGTCCCGATTTCTTTTGAAGTTAAGTCTTTATTACGATGTGTATCATGACATGTGCCTATACGCTGACGCACGACGTTAATCTCCCTACAATGACTCTTGAAATGACATTGTGGTTATTTTATACTTTGGTGGCAGTTTCTTTTGGATCTGCTACACAAAAACTTCGAAGTAAACAAATCCGGCAATGTGAGCAGTTCGAGTTAGGGATATTGTTTTTGTACATGAAAGCCTATTCTTTTGGCGGGAATTAATTATTCTTCCAGTAAAGTGGAGTTTTGAGTTAACCAACTTTGAGTTATTGAGATTTTGCTATACTTTTCAAGTGTAGTTGGTTGTATTTTCAATATGGGCAGCAGAGTGTGTTTTCTTTTAGGACTGCCGATTAGACTTTGACTGATCATCTCCTCATTAGGTGTTATTTGCAGTGTTTCACCGCTGATCGGTTTTCCTTTTTTGCATTTTTTTTTCCAATTTATTTAGATTACCAAATGCTACTTTAAATCCAAGTACTGGGACACCAGGCTTTATCTCCTCGACGACCTGTCATGTGACCACGTCATCAAGGGCCCCGCCATCTTGATTGAAAAGAACAGCACCATAGTGGTGGAGCCAAACTGCGAGGCACGGATAACTGAGCATGGTGACATCAAAATCCAGGTCAGTTGAAACTGTGTAGGTTAAAAGAAAAACATACCTGTTCCTGGACCTGTGACTGATCATAAAGCCCCTCTGCATGACAGTTTGATCAGTTACGGCTGTCATTTACGTCCGATATGCTTGCAGAGAATGGCTCGAGCATGGGGTGTAGCCTCGGGGATGAGAAGGTGTTACTTGCATGCCTGGGTGCACAGTTGGTGAAGCCTACTCAGTCGGTCTAATCATTGGCAAATATTTTGGCAAAACTTACCAATTTTTCTTTTTTTTTTTGATAAATCATTATCGCAGCATGTTGCCCCTTCAAGAGACCCTTTTCCTGCATTACTTCACCTGCTTGTATGTTATCTCTCCCTCACCAGGTTGGTAGCGATGAAACGAAAGCCCTAGGCACTGAACTAGACACCATTCAGCTGTCTATCTTCTCCCACCGCTTCATGAGCACCGCAGAGCAGATGGGCCGCATCCTGCAAAGGACGGCCATATCCACCAACATCAAGGTATGTAGCACCTCCCGAGGGCCTTTCATTCCGCTAAATGCTGGGGTCAAACCCATTGTTTATGTCACTGACACAATTGTTCACTATTGCGAGATCATTCCTCTTAATACGACAACCAGAAGCAGTAAATCACATCAGCCTCAGCAGTGAAGTGGATTAAGTGAAAAGTGACATTGCGTGCACAACTACTCACTAGTTCAGGCTCGTTTCATGCTTAAAGATAACTAAATGTTGAGCTAAGGTTAGTGCGAGCTTTGCTTTATGGGCCACAAAGTTGTTAGAAAGTCTGAATAATTTTTGGGGGGGAGTGTAGTTTTCAAGAATGTGGATGTGGGTCCCACATAAAGTTGGAAATAGGTCTGTAGTCGAATCCATCACAAGTTCATTGCAAGCCCATCAAAAGTCATCCGCTCTTCAGCCAAGTCACAAGCTTTTGAACTGATAAATACCTTCATTTGTCTGGTCACATTGACTGGTCTTGTGAAAGGATTTACAACTAGACTCATGATGCACTCAGCTACAAAGGTGGTCAGAAGATATTTAGATTTTGGCTTTGTTGATTCCTGTGGAGCAAGAATTTGACCACTTGAAAGTGCTTCCTTGTTGGTGCTCAAGAGGTAGACAAGATAGCCACTGGCCAAGTTGAGGAAATAATGCTTTGGAGAACAAGTGACCAGGGGCCAATTTCATAGAGCATTAAGCACAGAATTTGCTTAAGAGTGAAAAAAAAACTTGCTTAATAAACGAAGGCTACCAGCTCAAAATATGTGATTGTCATGCTAACCAAAAGACAGGTGAATACCATTCCAAATCAATTTACATTTCATGGAGTTTTGGCTGGTAACCTGATTTGTCAAGCAAGATTTTTTCACGCTTAAGCAAATTTTGTGCTTAAGCAGCTCTATGAAATTGGCCCTCCTATTGTCACGAGTTGGTTGTATTTCCCAAGTTTTTATGTATGCACTTTGGGATTGTTTGTTCTTGAAGGAGAGACTGGACTTTTCCTGTGCAATGTTTGGGTTTGACGGCGGTCTGGTAGCCAACGCCCCTCACATACCTGTCCACCTTGGTGCAATGCAGGAGACAGTTCAGTACCAGGTAAGGGGAGGGTTGGCCTATTCTTGATCACACGGCAGATAAACCTGTTTCTTAGCTATTTTGTCAACAAACATTGACCACCATTTTTGTATTGTCATCCAAAGTTCACCCTTGATTGGTAACAACTTTTGCCTCAAAAAACACATTTACTTCCTTAATTTTAATGTGGGAAACATTTCCAGTTAGCATTTGGGAGAGTTACTCAGTATTAATTATTTTTGGTAGTTGTGCGAGATTTATTTACAATTTCTGATTTAGTCTGGTAGTCTTTTACTCACAGCAAGCCATAATTTTGCCAAACAGTTGGCCGAAACTGCACTCGTGGTGTAGAGGTGTGTAAAACCGTTTGCTGCCATTAGGTGCCATATTTAATGTGTAGAGCTCATCTGCGGTGATGTCTGGTACCTAGTTTTCTTATCGACTTACGCATTTTTCATCCATGAATCATGCCATGGGCACGACTGCCGACTCGAAACTCGAGAACATCTTTTGAAGGACTAGTCACAATTACAGGAAGACAGTGTGTTACCTCATTTGAGTTATTTATGTGTCAGCCGAGGTACTGGGTCAAATGTTGCTTGGAATAATGCTCTCTGGATTTTATTTGATCTCCGTACAGAGGTGAAAGCACACTCGTGTATTAATATCACAAATACAAACAGGACCTCAGGGGAACTAATAGTCTTCATTATTTTGCATGATTTCAGATGGGAGTCCTGGGTGATGATTTGAAAGAAGGCGATATGATCCTGACCAATCATCCATGTGCTGGAGGAAGTCACCTACCCGATTTGACAGTCATCACTCCAGTAAGCATTCAGCAAGTTCCAGCAAAATCCATTTTCAGCCGCTGATCATTTTCATCGGAGCTTACGCGCAGTACAGTGCAACTTGAGTGGCATTAGTCAAATCCTGTTGGATTGCATTTCCAGTGGTTGCAGTTTTTAGGAGTTGCCATTATTTTGACGTCTATCTTTCCCTCTGAACTGAATTACAAAGAAAGGCTGTTGAGAACCAGCCATGCAATCCTTCCAGAGTTCCAAATAGTCAATGAGAGTAGTTAAGCTGTGGAGTTAGTCAAATGGTGGTTAACTGTAGTAAAAACTGCTTGCTCATTTCAATCAGGATTATCACTGTGTTTAGGTCTATGGGGGAGAAAAACTATAGACTTCATGTTTTATAATTGAGTTTGGTTGCAACGGACCTGTTCCCACTGAATCTGGACAAAGTTATCAATGTAAAATCCTGAATTTTCGAATGGGTGGATGGTTTATTTTATTTATATATGTATCTACTGTATATATCTCATTTTGGAAAAAGTGAATTGTTCGACTGAAAAAGACCAAATTGAAACCAATAAACATAATGTCTTATCTAGACAAGTAATGGAAAACATTGTGTACAAATGCCATTAATTTGTCATCTGTAGGTCTTCTACCCAGGCACCCCTAAGCCTGTCTTTTTTGTGGCCAGTCGAGGGCACCATGCTGACATTGGTGGCATTGTTCCTGGCTCCATGCCGCCCAACTCTAAGCACCTGAGGGAGGAAGGGGCCGTGTTTGAGACCTTCAAGCTGGTTGAAGACGGTATCTTCCAAGAAGAGGGTACGTGTTTGTAGCAAGTACATCTCCTGAGTTGTCAAGGCTGAAAATGTTTGTGTAAATTTAATTCCCGAGATCTTCCCCGGGAAAGATGACTATTTTCTTCGCCACTATTACTAGAGTAAGCATGTGAAGGATTTGAATTTTGCCGGTAAATGTGGAAAATCTTCAGTAAGTCTCTCCCTGCTAGTGGTTGCTTATGTGAATAACTTGTATAAACCTTATAATCTGGTCAGACTTCATGTGTGACTAATGTATGGATTATAGACTAATTATAGACTTAACTTTCTGGTAAGAAGCTGTAGATTGTCCATCTTGAGCAGAAGCACCCCCTCATCGGTTGAAAAGAGCCATGTGGGTCAGGAGTGTTCATTTTTGTTGGTAGCGATGCGACTACAACGCTTGCATTTCATAGCCATTCATGAACCAGAGATGCACAGTTAATATCAAAGAAGCATCTTGCTAGAAAAATTGCGCCCTTTCTTGGTCTAGCTCTGGGCCCATACTGTTTGGCCAAGAGATGGCATTGTAAGTTGTGACCTAATTTGTGACCCAACCTAATTAAATGAATCACAAGTCGCCAGGGCAACTTATAAGTGACAGGCTTTTAAGAGAACCTTGCACAGTGTAAATCATGGGAACCTTCAACAAGTTTCACTCATATATCGTCCATTTTCATGAGGATTCCAAAATGGGTGATAAAGAACTCAGTGTGCACTTTTCCATGCAAACTAAAACAGAAATACCGAAAATACCGCTGAAAATCTCATGTTGTGGGATCCGGCCACATTTTGCAACTCAGAGTGTGCAACTGGGAGACAAAGAGCTGGCCTGCTTGTATTGGTTTGCAGAGAAACACACTTGAGCATGGGTGTCACTAAGAGGGACTAGGACAAAAGCGCTTCCCCCCCAAAAAAAAACTTGAAAAAGGAAAAAAAAAAGGGAAAGCGAAAGAAATTTTAAAATAGAATAAAATAGGAAGAGAATCACTCATCTACTTGAAAAAAAAAATCAAAATAGACCCCTCCCAGTGTTATATATTTTTATAGCGGATGAGTGCCCCCCTCCCAAAAAAGTGGATTTCCTCACCCCCCAAAAAAAAGAAATTCTTGGGAAGCCCATGCACTTCAGAGCTGGCATATGGTGTAGGTTGCAATCAAGAGTCCATGAAGTACACACAGAGATTTACTGCTCAGAAATATCCCTCCATAGAGTCCAAAACTATTCAAGATTGTCAGGTACATGTACCATTTTGAAAGGTCTTCATGGGAAGAAATCTCACATGTTTGGTTATTGCTGTACTATCCTTTGTTTTCCTGCCACAGCCCTGATAGAAGCCCTCATGGCGCCGGGTAAGGTACCAGGGAGCAGCGGCACCAGGAATCTCCATGACAACCTGTCTGACCTCAGGGCACAGGTTGCAGCCAATCAGAAGGTGGGCTGATTGAACATGCCAAGACAAGATATTTCCTTGGAAAAGACACCCATAGAAAAATCTCTAAAAATGAGAAGACCTCCTGGAAACTTTTTTACTTCAATTGAAGACAGTCTGAGCTGAACTCGTGGTGCAGTCAACAGGCCAGGTCAACTTTCAACAGTCAGAAGGTTGCACTGCACAGTTAGGTGGAAGAGATCAGTTGTTGTTTCATTCCACTACGATCAATAATGTCATGACACAATTTCCTAGCAGCAAATTCTGCAGTTGTTTCCTCAAGTTTTTCTTTGGGCACAGCTCGTCTGGGATCAGCAACACTGAATTCTCAATCAAGGAGCAATTTCCTTGGTCGGTAGATACTGCGGTGTTTGCTGCGAGAGACTTCATCGTTCTACCAATATGTTGCCACGTTACATACTGCTTTTAGCAAGACAAAGGCTACGGCTTATTTCACATTTTTGGAAAGAAATGGTTCTTGTGCATCATTTCATGTCTGGATGCTGCAAGATTGACCAAATACGAGGTGTGGCTGAAAATGTCAGAGTTCATTGGTGGCCGCAAGACTGATGTCACAGCCCGTAGTCGTTCTTTTACACCTGTTGGTTTCCTCCCCCCCCCCCACCGCAGGGTATTATTCTGATCAAGGAACTGATTGACTACTACGGGCTGGACGTTGTCATGGCCTACATGGGCCACATTCAGACCAATGCCGAGATTGCCGTCCGCGAGATGCTGAGAGAAATTGGCCGGAACACCATGGAGAAGATGGGCACCACGCGACTGTCAGCCCAAGATCAACTGGATGACGGCACACCCATTGTCCTGACCATTGACATCAACATTGAAGAGGTAGTGTTACCACCAGACCAGAAGCTACTCTACTTTTGCACCCCGTAGCCCTGAATATGCATGGACTCAAAGGTTGTTGATTGCAAAGATGCTTTACGGTATATTATTTAACCCCTTCGCGCCGGGAATTTCTTCCCGAAAGCCGACTTCAAGAATTCCAGCCTCGCTTGGCCATAAAGGCCACCNCAGTGAAAAGGCTGATTGTTCGGTGGCATGCGGCTCTACTCGCGCTTCCACATACCCATTGCCTCTTTTCAAAGTGGGGACTATTTTGAAGCTGGTGATTATGATGCAAATTCGGTCTTTTCATTTCTAGGCTACACACAAAGACCAATTACCATATATACAAGAGCCAGAGTCTGCCTTCTTTCCCCGTGTTCGCTTGAACGTGGGCCGAGAATAATAGCTGAAAAGCGGGCTGAGGATCTCAATTTTTACGGCGTGTCTAGCCGTGTCCCGGCGTGAAGGCGTTAAACTACATGCTGGCATAGTGCTGGTATGAAGTTACTCTTGATGAAGTAAAGCATCTGATCAAAAGACATCAGAGTACCAGGCATATGACTGCCCATGTGTTTTCCTTGAGCTTGGCCACCACTGACACTGCAGTATGCAAGTGTTAGGTTATCAGCTGTGCATTGTTAATCATAACCAGACAGTGATGCTCATTTCCTCACAAAATAACCGAGAATTCTTTAACAAATGGCAGGACAGTCACTGTTTGTTCCATGTAAAGTTGTCATAACCTTGCAGATTGAGCACTTGGTGCTGGCTGTACAGTTGTTGTCATTCATCAAAGCTTTGAATTCTAATACCTAGTATGCACAGTGCTGCAAATTTTTGTCCACGGTAATGGTGAATGTACGTTGGGTTAGATCTGTTGATGAGAGCACCCTGTTGGTTCCCGTAGCGTATTCCATTCAGGCTATTTGCATATCAGACTGGAAGTTACATTTGTTACATCTTAAAGAGTAATACTTTGTCAAAGGGACTTTCGAGCAGGTGTCACTCTGTGACTTCAGTCTTGGTTTTTCTCAGAGCAAGTCGCAAATGTAATCTGAAATCCCCACGGCACACCCCAAACGTTGTATAGCCTGTGCCTCCTTAGCAGATTTGTATCACTGAACTTCTTCACATCAAGGTTGCATTTTCCTTCCAGGGCACCGCATATTTTGACTTCACGGGTACCGGCTACGAAGTCTACGGTAACCTGAATGCACCTAAGGCCATCACCAAGTCAGCAATCATCTACTGCCTCCGATGCATGATTGGTCACGATGTTCCCCTGAACCAGGTACCATTTGTGTGAATATAAGTTGAAATCTGTTCACTGAAAGTGTGAATCTGGTGCAGAGTCTTTGCCTGTTGCAGGTATATGGTCACATGTATAGACTTTATTGATGAGTTGGCTGTATTCACTTGAAAGCTAGGTGACTTCTTCTGTTTTTGAACTTGGGAGCGGGAGTAAATTGAAAGGAATACAATAAAATTCTTCACAAATTAATACCTGTTTACCCCAATGAAAAACTTGACATTTGTGATCAAACATACTTTGATATAAAACACATTCTATTAAAATTTGAAAGGCAGGCTTTGAATTCACTCCAATTATGAAATAGTCAAGCACTGTTCCATTCAGCAGCCCACAATTTATTGCACAGATGCAGGAAATATGGTTAAAAATTCACGAGTAACACCTGTAGATATAATTTTATCTCTGGATGTCTATTTTAGACAAATTTTATTTTCTGAGCCCCGTGATGCGATTTTTAAAAGGAAATGCTAATCTTGTGAACCAATGTTCATAGAATTGAAACACATATAATTGCATCTCTGTGGTTTGCATTTGTGCTACAAATCTGTAAATGATGTAGAGATAAAGGTCATGTCAGTGATGTCGTTTTCATAAATTTAACGCTTGAACATACCATACCATCATAACTGCAAGACAAGATCCAACGAGAAGTTTCTTACAGTTCAACCTTGAAACCTCACACAGACTGCACATTCACATCACATCAATATGGGCGATTCACAATAGTGCACCACCAGGAGTTTGTAACACTTTTACCAATCATAACACGCCAATTTTACGACCCTTTCCAAACACGCATTGGGTCGACAATTTCGTGCATTGTGATTGGCCAATGCGTTGCAAACTCTTTGTGGCACACTGTTGTGAAACGGCCGTATTGTATTGCCATTGACTTCTGTACTTTCATCTAGGGTTGTCTGAAGCCAATCCAGTTGCACGTTCCAAAGGGATGCATTCTGGACCCCTCACATGATGCTGCAGTGATCGGGGGTAATGTCCTGACATGCCAACGCGTAGTTGATGTCATCTTGAAAGCATTTGGGGTGTGCGCTGCATCTCAGGTAAGGTGGCCACTTGTCATGCTAGTATATTGAGAACACTCACTTGTGAATTCCAGTGAACTGGAAATTTGGCCTGAACTGTATTTGATTTGTCCTTGAAAAATGGCACGAGCAAGCGCTGTCCATTTTAAAAAACACAAAATATCAACCAGCAGTATTGATAACTTAGATGGTTTCGAAGAGAATACCATTCGCTGGATGTTCCTTTTTTTCACGTTATTTGCTTTTC